AATTAAACAAAGAAAGAAATGCATCAGAGAGATTCCCATTAGACTTAAGTCATCACTCTCAACAATGAGTCTGATGTCCCTGTCTATTTTATCATCATTTGCATTTCTATCTTCTTTCAAAATCAAATCAAAACCCTAGCTTCAATAAAAGCTAACAAAACTGCAAAATCTAGCTAATATACGATTACCTCAACTGAAGGGAAACAATAGAGATCTGAAAAAGAAGAGAGAGGCGACGGAAACTTGTTAGGGTTTAGGGTTTTTCAGTTGTTAGTATTAAGGGAGTAGAAGAAGGGGATTATATATAGAAGAGAGATGCAGGTCTTGTAGGGTTTTGGAATGTGTTAGTGTAAGCAATATATGGGCTTCAAAGAGAAAAAGGCCTACCCAGAATAATTAAAGAAGGCCCATTCATTTGAAATTTTGGGCCAGGGCCCGCTCATCCCTCCCATATGGCCATATTCTGCGTAAACGTTACGTGACATATATGACACGCAGAGTGTTTAGAAGATGGATTGAAGCATTTCATTCTCTACTCCACTCGAAAACAAAACCAGAGCAACAGAGAAAGAAGAAGAAGAATTCACCAGTTTACATCTCAAGGTTTCTCTCTCTCTTTTTCTTTCTCTCTTTGTATATATCTTCTCAATTCATTAAACTGATTAACCGATTGATTCTTCTTTCTTTATCAATCGATCGATGAACATGTATGCTGATGTTTTGAAGTAGATTATCGATTTAATTTGTTCAGATTTGATTTCTAGGGTTTAAAATCAAGTTAAATAAAGGTAATTTAGTTGTTGTTTCATTGTTTGGATTTAATTGCTTAGTTAAAATTTTAATTCGTTATTGTTCATTTTAGTAGATCTGATGCTAATTTTATATTTGTAGATCTTTCTGTTTGTTTATGATTCTGTTGTTGAGATTGATGAATGAATCAAGTGTGCTTTGAATCAAGTGTAGTGTGTAGATTTATAACATGATCAACCTTGGCACTTCACTTCTTCAACAGTTGAACTGAGCTGAGTGGAAGATTGATAGATTTTAACTAAAAACAATCTGATTAGCTTCATTTGATGACTACTTATATGTTTTATTTGGTTGTGGGGGAAGTTTATTTGATAAGTAGGAAGTAGGATCTTAAGTTGAAAACTCAGTAAGTGTGGTTGAGTGAGCTAAGGACGTCAGTAAAATAAACACAAATGAGGGAGTTACCTTTAAACATGATTGCAAGATTGTAGGATCCTTCCTATATAGATCCTAAGAGGGGGGAAGAGATGGTGAGGATGTTAGTAGGCAATTAAGAGATTAATATCAAGCAAATAGAGCAATTTGAATATTTTGTTGTACAAAAACAATTGAGAGTAATGTAGGTGTAACCAAATCCTTAAATGAAATGACAGAACTAAATATTCCCACAGAGAAGATACACACCTCAACATAATATAACAAATATACTGTTTTTCCTTCTTTTCTTCATCTGCTTGTAATATTTAGCGTACACTAAAGATTTAACTAAAAACTGCACTATGCAAAGAAAATATGTGGATATAAAAGATGAAAGAGTATGTTATGTTTTAGTTGGAAAGGTAAAATTGTAATATCATTGATGTCAATAAGCCATTAAGCTCTACTGACTAACTGTTGAAGTTGCTACTGTGTCTGTGGTATCACATGCAGAAATGTCAGGTACAAATGTTGAGGATGTCAAGGAGGAAGAACTTGCAAAGCATAACCTTGAAGTCCAGGTGGATGGAGAACTCCCTGTGGATGACCCACAACATTTAGAAATAAAAGAAGAAAATGCCATGCCATCACCTCAGGAAGAGGTACTCATCTTATCAAGCTTTGCCTCTTAATTCTCATTTGTTTCTTCTGTGTTTTTTTTGTCATTAGTTAAGTTGGTTGTGGAGCATATGATGAGAATATTAATTGTTAATTGTATTGTTAAGAAGCAGTAGTTCTAGCTGTTTGTAGTTTGATACTATATAAACCTTTTAAAGGTGTGATCCATCTTTTGCAGGAGGCAATAATCAAGAAAAAGTATGGAGGAATGCTACCAAGAAAGCCCCCACTGATATCTAAGGTAATGACCCTTTTTAACTTATTTCTAAGGGTTTACTGATGGTCTAAGGTAGTATTTGACGAATCTGATTCTGCTGATTGGGCAGGACCACGAGCGTGCATTTTTTGACTCTGCTGATTGGGCATTGGGAAAGGTACGTATTGATCATCTTCAATGCCCCGTCTTTTAATTCTTTGCTTCTAATGATTATAAAGCATGCAGTTGATAATTTTATCAAACGAGAAGCATAGTTTGTTGGGTCACCTTTGATCAAAAGGTTTATTTTTGGCTTTTTATTCATTTGATATGTAGCAAGGAGCTCCAGTCCAGAAGCCCAAGGGACCACTTGAAGCACTTCGGCCAAAATTGCAGGTATTTAAAATTTACATCTTTCACCCACATCACACCCTCCCCCCTAAATTTTCTCTTCCAAATGATGGTTATTAATGGTGGTGTAAGAAAGGAAAGGTTGCAGCAAATGCTTATGTAGTAACTCACACAATAGTTAGGCCATGGCATTATATATCTCTAAATCACATACATTAGTCGTGCCTTAATGAAGATGAGTTGGGTTGACAGGCTCATCTTTGTTATCAGCTTCACGCCTTCATAGGAAATACTTTTCACGTTGAGTTAGAGGTGCAACTACTGACTAAGTGTGCCTTTGACTTCCTAATCTGACACTACCCTCTGTAGATCACCAATATGTTTGACTACTGAAATGTGCAGTGGCACAAATATAAGATCGTAAAGAGATAACCAGATGAACTCAAAAACTGGATTTTTTCACACATTTCAACTGAATAAAGATACATGTATAAAGTGCAATTCTTCAATTGTTGTTTTATCTCATTACACATTCATGGATGGAAGTACAAAAAACTTGTTTGGGGATTTGATGACTGTGATCATTTTTGTTTATTACTAGCCCACACCACATAATCAAGCACGATCCAGGCGATCAGCATATGCTCCTGCAGACAATGAAGATGGTAAAAAAAATACTTTCTAACTATGGTTTCTTTCTTGTTTTGCATATGGAAGATAATCTAATAAGATTTGTATTCTAACATAGATGGTGGAAATAACAACAATGACAATTCAGAGGGTTAGAGTTGTCACAAGGAACGTTTGGTGAGGTTTTCACATCTTGCTACATCATCATGGCCACTTATTATGTGCCTTTACTCCATCAATTTCAATAAATAATGATTCTGTAATTGTTATTGTAACAATGAATTGATGGGGATGCCCCTTACAGCTGAGGTGTCGACTGTGCATTGCTCAACCAGTTTCGTAAAACATGCAATAGTTGGTAGTTAGAACTGAAACAGACTTTAGACTATTGCTCATTCTGTGTGGAAGCAATTGATGTACACACTGATGCTTAGTTTAGCTTCAGACAATAAATAATATAGAACTACAGTAAATCTTTAAGTTGTTAATGGAGAGAGAGGCTAAATAGTTGAAATCCTTCTATAAATATTGCAAGTAACTATATGGATGTTGAACATGGTATTCTCACTACTTATATTTTGTGCTGGTGGTGCTCTTGCTCCATACAAATCGAGTTTTCACACTTCTATTTTATGAAATTGGTGTATTGTACTCGGCGAAAAGAAGTGGTGTACTGTTAGATTAACTGTGGCTGGAATAGTAATTGAATATCTTCATAATGCCAAAATAAAATGCGATACAATCATACAACTTTCTTGTATGTCTAATTTTTGCATGTGATTTACCAAGAAGTTATAACTACTACTGATTCCATTTGTTAAAGTTAAGAGCATCTCTAATGGGTGTGCATAATATGTTCTCCACGTAGGAGACATTGGCTTTCGAAACCCATTTTGGAATGATTTTATTTACTTTCATTTTGTAATTCTGAACAATTCAAGTTTTAGTTAATTTCTTAAATTTAAATTTACCCCTTGCACGTAACTAAATTTCTTTTAATGATTTAATGGTCAAATGTAATGTAACGTAAGATCACCTAATACACACCACTGTATGAATTAAAAATAGGATGGAAGCCTTCCAATTTGGAAGGATTCTATAATGGAATTTGTTTTACACGCCCTATAGGGAACCTGTTTTACCCCTTCCTTCCAAATTATAGAAATGGAAGGGGTTTTACATGCCCATTAGAGATGGGTTAAAAGGGAGACATAGAGGCATACATTGTTCCACATGCTCCCCGTTGTCAATGCAAATGCTATCCACGCTGTGCATGACTGCATTCATGTAACAATAACTCACAAAATGACACCTGACATTTTGGTCTACACAATCCCCTCCTAGCGAATCCCAATTTGCAAATTGTATGGAAGTGTAGCATACTATGTTTAAGGTTTAATAGGTGTTCCTCAACTTTTTAAAGTGTTTTTAGTGACAATAAATATCATATTGCCAAGGCCATTTAAATGAAATTTTAAGAAAATATATTTCACATCCATCACTTAGATTATCAATTTTTATCTAGATACATAAACTTGTCAACTGCATTTATACCATCAACAACTTCCTCACATATAATATCAGCTTTTCATCTAATTCCATTTTAGTAAACACAGTAAAGTAACCAGCGAAAATGTTTACTCCTAATTCCTAAAGAACTAATCTTTGAATTCACAACACTCACAACAGTACAACTTTCTTACTAATCTATATTAGTGCAGTACAACTTCCACACACAGCTTCTTACATTCCAGAATTCATCATACATTTTAAATGCTAAAAAAGCCCTCCACCTAGCGCCTTTTTCTTGCCTTTTCTGTTTTCGTGTTCTTCCTGGTAAAATCACAGATTAATTCCACCTTGCATTCAATACAAACATTTAGTGGGACCTCAGATAATTTCCTTGGTCAGACCATCAGACCAATTCTCAGATCTAGGTGATCCATCAGACAGAACAAATCTTCATCCAATAGACCAATATCATAACAAAAGCAAAAACATCAAAGCTTTCAACCAAATACATCAAACTCAGTACTATCTGAAGTGAAATGCCTTTACTTATGCTGACCAAAAATTCATCAGA